TCTCGACCATCCGGCACCAGCTTCTCGTCATAACGGCAATGGAGAGCGCACACAGTGCTACATGTAGCTCTGCTCAGCCCTTCTTTCCAAACGTTATTTCCAAAATGGAAGTTAGTACTTCTACAGTAGCTTTCCAGGTCTCATAAAAACAGTATTATACAAATTATGTACACATTACGTACAAAGATGGCTCAGGGAACTTGACTTTTCAGAACACTCCGCTGATAAAACTGTTAGCACACCACGCATGCTTACCAATGATACGGCTGAAGAACACAGAATATTATCCCTAGCCTTGTTTCCACCCGTGCTAGCCACATACATGCTAGTGCTGCTGAACGATTTTCCTGTCAACTACGACGCATTGAAGTCTGTCCTGCAGCCTGGGTGACGCTCCACATGGGAAATATTGAAGTATGGGCAGTTTGGGCCAGTTCCTTCATTTCCAGTATGCATTTCTCAGGTTCTAATGAGCCCCTCCCCCCCCCCCCCCCCGCCTACACACACACATAGGCACACACAGACATACGCACACTATCATAATTATATTGTCAGTTCATATCGATTGCTGCCTCCTGTTACAGAAATTTCGTCTTGATAAGACTGGCAGATGCCCTTCAGTAGTGCTAGAAATTCTCTGCATTCCAGCTGTAGCAATCAATGACTGGCCCATACTGCTAGTATTGTGGCTTACACGTTGGACTAAAAGTACATGTATTTCCTCTGCATGCTGGTCACACTAGCGAATGCCGGCTTAGCTTTGGGCTAAGGAAACTGAGAGCGTCACCACTCACCATGCATCGCAAGGGATTGGCAACTTTGGAGATCAGGCACATCTGATACACAACTGATATGAATGGTTTCCTGAGTTTGTTTTAGAGTTTGCTGAACTTTGGAGCCTACAGAGCATTGTGTGAGCAGGCATATGTTTACTGCCACTTTGCCAGGTGTGTGTGTGTGTGCTTTACCACCATTACTCTGCTCATGTCCACTGTGTACCATGAATTATGTGGAAGCACTTTCCAGCTATCATCGCTCGAGTCTCTAAGCTCCGAATCTCAGGTTCTCTTGTATAGTGAGCACTTCTGTGCTAGCTGTATATCCGTTCCAAGACGAAAGTGTAGCTGAAACAGCCCCAGATGTGATGATGAACTGAGCTAGAGATGCATGGCCGGCTTCCCATCACACTGCAATTAGGCATAGTGTAAATGGCGGTCCCTATAGCTGATCTGGGGCCGTACCATCCCTCATGAGCTGGCTCCGGGCCTGCTGCTAGTGATAGTAGATATGTGTACACAATCAGAAGTCCAGCACAGCTTGCCACTGCTATAATCAAGATCCAGTCACCCCAGTGCCTGTGGACTGGGCTTACTGTGGACAGGATTCTTGCTCATCAGTGCCTAATGGTATCAGCATCATGTAGCAGAAAGCTGTAGTATCGTTTAGTGAATGTTAGTGGAAATTCAGTGACTAGACTAGCTACAAGCTGGGAGTAGCATTGACCCCATTAGGGTTGACACTGTGGGATATCACAACACTGTATGGCCCACTGAGACCAGCCAGGTTGCTCAAGAGAGCCGGGATAGCATTCTTTCTAACTGCTCCTGATGAAGAAGGGCTGAGGCATCCTGCAGCTTCATCTCTGAAAGGAATTCGATAGCACTGCACATCCGAACCAGATCGTTATTTTACAACGCTTTGGCACTTGGCCATCCTCATCATTGTTCTTATTAGCTGATGATGGCCAAGTGCCGAAGAATTGTAAAATAACGGAACTGGTTCGGGTGTGCAGCGCTATCCCGGGAATGGGTGTACCCCTGATGAGTTACCAGATTGAAGGAAGGTAGGGAAACGAAATCATAACGGGGAACAGGCATATATCTCTCATAGAAGGGACCAACCAAATCCCCATAACCTGTTTACGGAGGGAATTCTCACTCATCCTTTGGTGGGGATTTGCATCCACAAACTGATCCATTCAACTCAAAGAAAAGTTCACTTGTACGTTTTTTTGGTAGAATTCCACAGCACATCATTCATTCAGCAAGCATTGCAATGCAAAGCTTCCATATAATTATGGTGCTGATACATGGCGGCTGAAGCTACACTTTCAATCGCCTGTTTTAGAATTTCTGATCCCAGCAACATGCTCACACAGCTGCCCTTTGCAGTATGTGCTACACAAGACGTCCTTGCACGGCGGCAAAGCATTATATGCAACAGTTGTCGTACTACTGGTAGTACTGTCTCACATCCATCGTCATGCTTCACTGTCGATGCTGATATTAGCATGTTGCACAGCGAGCAACCAGTGCTGAATTCAATCCTCATTGTTTTCTGCAGCAGCAGACTTCCAACACCTTCCCTCTACAGCAAGCGTGTAAGCTTGTTTGTGTACGTGATCATACCCCAGAGTGGCACAAGCTCGTGGAAAGAAATTTCAAAGAATATTAATCAAATAAAGCTAGACCATCCATGACCACTAGTAATTGCACAACAACAAACCCTTTGTCCCGTTTTGTTGTGCACGATTTGTTTCCAGAACATCATCTAATGCATCTGCCATCATGACCGACGGGGATGGCTGGTTCCACTCAGAAACGGTCTCTTTCTACAGCAGTCGTTGCCGAGAGCCTAGACCATTCATTCACTGTGGCTCTGTGGGATTTACAGGCCTTTTCTAACAATAACAGAATACACTGCTAGTATAGAAGCAGAAATGTGTTCCTATGCAATGGACCAAGCATACAAACACAGTTTATGATTTTTACACTGCATGGCAGTGCAAGTGACTCTCACCTGGCAATGTCACTTCACTGGAGGAGTGCGAGTGAGCGAACACGACTTGCACGACAACCATCGCTAGCAACATCAAATGTGCAGACGGAAAATCCCCCATCTTTGCGTGTTCTATTCTCTGCACAGGCTGCGCTGGAAATTGCAGGAGACAAGGTAACTTGCCGTATGGTAGAATTTCCTGACGAACGTATCTTCCAGGTGCCCCTACGGCAAACAAAAACGAAACAGAGCATGATTTCCACCAGGTTCTTTTACAAACCGGTGCCCTCCCCTAACTGCCCTATGCTCGGGCAGGTTCCGTAGTCCTCCGTAAAGGAATCAATGAAGGATTGTTTTTCGTTGGCGACACACTCGCACGTTTGGGGCACTTGTCATGTCGTGGTTCGCAGGATCGAGTAGGCCACATGTCACGTATGACAGCTAACTACAAAGTAAAAGACGCCAATCAAATCCACATGACCATAAAGCACCGACTTCGTTGGTGTTCTCAACCAGACTTCAAGATGTGTAGCCAAGTGAAGAGCATCTTGACGAACTTAGCTTACCTCGAAGGAGGCTTTCTTCGTTCTTCAACAGCAGAAGGAGTGATCAGGACCTATGCGGATTGCGGTGCTGCAAGGAATGTTTATATTGCCGCACGGACCACCCTCGAGGCGTCCGCAAAAGGCCCGCGCAAGTGCAAAGCCTCTCACCAGCTACAAGTAAATATCACGATCTCCCGCACCTGGGCCGGAAACTCATCGAGAAACGCCAGCGTAAACAAGTAAAAGACTGAAGGAGAATGCTTGCAAATAGCCTAGTGAGTCGCCTCAAGGCGCATCGCTTATCGTCTGTGCTATGACGCAAGTTGACCCGTGTGGACGCGATGAGTTGGGTCAACTCCTGGCCCCGATACCAGTGCAGTCCTGACCAACCAGCCAATGCCTGCGGGCCCGGGGTTCTGATAAACCATCAAGCCCTGAAACTGCCAAAGATCGTGGTGGACGCACGCACACTCACACTTCCTATTTGCGCAGCGCCCTCCGCGTTCGTTTCCAGTTCCGTGTTGTCGATAGGTGCGAGTACAAGTCGTAACGCACCAGAAGTGGAACTACCGCGCATCTGCGAAGCCGGTTCTTGTGGCATTGAATAAAAATCGTGTGTTGCACTTGCGGATGCAGATCAAGACAGCAGTCTGAAACATGCTACAACCAGTCGTTGGTATGCATGCATGCACGTTCAGTAATGCAGCCGATTAATTTGATGCCTGAATCGATGATCGAGTTTAGTTTAATGCTCTCCTTAGGCGAAACAAATACATCTTTGAAGTAGATGTTCAAAAACGCAGTTAGCGGCATCAATGCGTCCTAATGATGTCTGTGGTTGCTCCAAGGGGATCACGTGCGTAGGCTGGGTGTGAAGCTCCCATCCTCTTTGACTTTGGTGTGGATTATTAGAGCGTTCGTATGGTGGGCCATAGGATCTGATTTGGGATGAATCCTTCACAATTAAGTTACGGATCATCGCAGAAGTATGATCAGAGAGGGTACAAGGCATGAGCTGCACAGTTGCTGGAAGTCTGACGTCCTGTGCTTCTAAGCACCTCACACCATACACTCATGGGTCATGTGCGAGTGACGACTGGGTGACACCTGCATGCAACCGCTCTACCTGGTCCCGCCAAGATAGCAAGAACGTGCCATGCATGCCGCAGGTCCCGTGGTGGGGTACGGGTGTCGGAGCACGATTCTCGATCTCCCTCGCACAGACCACGGAGCGTTTCCCCATGGCCTTTTCAGACACCACAATCGACATCGCGCAATGGCCTCTGACGTCATTGCCCTCACGTCCACATTCGCGATATCACGACGTTCTCTCACTTCCACTTTTTACTTTTAGGTCCCATCTTCTTTTTTAGCTGGGGTCCAGCAGCGAGAAATGGCCCTGCATACCTCTCCCCTTCCCAGCAAAGAAGCAAAGACCAACAAGTATAATTGTACATGAGCAACATTAGTTGCATGAGCTACTTTGAAAACAGTTACATGCATGAGCTTTGCGGACATGAAAGAACACAGGACTCTAGCCGCCGATTCTGTATTCAGTATGGAGTGACTCCCGAACTATGTAAAGTGGCCGTGCATGTTCCTTGTTATGCGTGGGCAGTCTGGAGAAGCATGAAGCCTCCTGCAGCGCAGCAATGTACGAGCTGAATGCCTTTCTGGAGCTGGCGAAGGGGTCACCAATTATCAAACATACGCTGTGGATATACTCGCTCGAGAGCAGGTCTACTTCATTCAGGTTCTTGTCGTAATCACCTCACGAATGTGTCTTTCACATGTAAACGGATTGTGCGTCCTAGCGCAGAGTTGCACGCCTCGTGGCAGGGCTTACCACTACCAGTACCGTTCCAGTCGATCCTTACTTAGCATCTTTCAAAAAGCGTGGCACCCATGCCAAGTACAGCTTCCGATTACAAGCAATTGAAACGTTCCAAATGCCACCGTATCATGCTGAACAACTCGCCCAAAGGCTGCCCAACTTGTAGCGGACGTGTATGCAGATTCAGTGTGTCGGAAGGTACATGACCTTGTGGCCAGGATCACAGCTTCACACCTATGTTTGCCTTCAAATCGTAACCACGCTCACATGCATACCTTTCGCCTGCGCCTGCAGAGAGAAACGTGGCACACATACACACACATACACGCACACGGACGCACACACACGCACATTCTCTGACTCTAGCTCTCGTTTTACCTTCAACTAACTACTACTTGTCGACATGGTGCGCGTAGGTCTGGAATGCATTCGTGTACCTTAAGGAGCACTCTGGTCATGGCCGGTAAAATGACACCTTCCTTGGGTCAATTATACTGTCTCCGGTGGATCCGTTTCGAGTTGGCTCGTACTAGGGATCGGGAATTGGACCTCCGTTGGCTCTGTGACGTAGGGTATTAGATGTTTGCAGGATGCAGGACTGCCGTGGCTAGAAACACAGCAACAGCTGATAATTATAGTGGTTTAGTTGTGGCAACTTGTGGGTATACGACTCCCTATAATCCAAATGTACAATGTACTTGCAAGTATATACATGTACATGTACCGCGGTGCAAAATTCCATTAGTGTACCTTGTACTAGTAAGCTTGGAACACCAATTACGAACTGATGTAGGTGGTGTTGTTCACTCCTTGCAAGTACCATCCGCTTCGCACATGCCCAAGCACAAGGTACAGGACAAGTACAAGCATTGCTTGCGCTCGTACACCCTGGCAGTTGCGTCTTCCTACATGGCGAAGATGCGCGCATTGATGTGACCATGGCATAGACAGTCGAGTCTCAGGAAGCCACTCCATCCGGTGGACGGCACGTTCTGTTAGTGTTATAATAATTAGAATCACACTTACTAAAGTCTTGCTATGCTCATGATGGTACGGATGGTAGTGTTCACAAGAAAGGTGGCAAAATGGCCTGTGAAGTATTACGTACACACTGATATCCTTTTCACACCACTGAGGACTTTCTAAGGCAAAGAAATAAGCACCCGACGGACGGGTAGTGTTGAAAAATAATTAAATTGATAAATGAATCCTGCTGATGGTCATGAAGACCGAAATGTTGAAACGACACTTCCAATGGATTTGTGTGAAATGCAGTGCTCTCTTGAGTGCAGGCAGGTTGCCTGCAAACTATTCAAGTGCAATGAAACTGCGTGGAGCGTCCTTAATTTTAAAAAGATTTTGAAATATTTCGAAGTACATGTACTAGTAAAACATATTCATAAGGTTGAGGGAACACATTGTTCATTCATCGGTCCGTTTTACAATAACGATATTAAAGAAAGAAATAAACAGTTTTAGCTGATGAGTTGATTGATTCCACTTGTGGTGCCTCGTCGTCTAGCGCCTGCATCGCCCCTGGTCTTAGCACGAGAGGATCACAAAACAACAATCAAATCATGGAAAACCGCCATCTGATATACATGTACATGTACGTGTACGTGTACGTCTTCAGATATCCCCAAGTATCCCCAAGGCACAATCCATGTCGTCATTGGGTATTATCCGCTGCTCAGTGACCTGGAAAGATCTCTAATTTACCCACTCCTGCTTGCGGGCGATGTGCCTGCCTTCCCCCCTGGAAGTGGTGTATCACTGTCTGGTTCAGCGATATCCGAACGCCAGGCCCTGCCTGGATGAGTTCGTACACTTGCACACAGACAAACTACCAAGCACACGCGCTACTGTCATGACTCATCTATCACTATCACCAAGAATCACAAAACACAATGCATGCACGAAACACATAAACACACTCACTGCAAGGTCCACCAAGTAAGGTATGGAGTGACGAGTCGTGTCGTCTAGGGTAGTCCCAGTACATGTAGTACAGTAGGGAGTTCAGTAAGCATAGGATATGTAAGGCTAATCAATCCTTGATTGTTATAGCTGTATGTGCTAGATGTACACGTAGGTAAACATGTACTTACAATATCTTCCAAAACCAAACCTGAGACTCACTGAAGTCACGCAATACACATTGCTCAATGCAAACTATTGTGGACATTCTGGTCGATAGGCTGGTCAGTGTCAAGAACGCGAAACGATCGACTCAACTCGTACTTACACAGATTAAGTAATCCGATGTTCAATCATGTTTGGACAAGACTCAAGTCAAGAGTTGCTCTACAGCTGCCGCTACAAATGCCTTAAACCGGTAAAAGGCGGCAAGTCTCTGGCCGATCTGAAGAGGGAAAGCGCCTCCGGGTAGTTTCATATTCTTGTCCGAGTTGCTCTACTTGTGGTTTCCCTGTGGTTGACCTTGTCCATCAATGTACTGCATGTTGACTGTAGTCTCACCTAGGGAGTATTGTACTACTCCCTGGTCTCACCCTTCCGCAGATTTCCTTTCCAACACTGAGCAGAGGTGCATGACTTATCGTTTGCTGTACAAGGTCCACGGGGCGAAATCAATGCTGAACAAGTTAGCTTAATGCACCTGCGCTGTCCAATTCGAACATCTTCGCGATGAGTGCTGCATGCGACCAGAAGCCTGTTGTACATGTATGTTCTCGCGTCTTCCCACACTACAAAAATTCGCTATCCCCAATCCCGGCAAAGGAGCAAAACATTTTGCCTTTGAGGGATTGAGTGCCACGCGCTACTTTCCACCTGCCATGCACACTTCATCAGACTGAAGCACTGATAGGCATTTCCTAAGCGACACGTCATGTAACACAAATCAATTACCTGCCTACACTGCGACCAGCGACATAGGAGATCAAGGGCACAGGCCTGCATGCTACTGTATGGAGGAAACACCAAGCCATTTAGTCAGTCACAGGATATCCCGAAGCGCAACTCCTAACCAACGCAGCCACTGATGACGAGTGACGTGCGTATTCATTCGGTTTGGAATGGATTCCTACCCTCCAGTCACGGACACAATAATCATACAACGTGCTTGCTTTTGCCATGGTGACGCAGCTGGCTACGTCGTGTACTCCGAGGGTGTAGTGTTGGTGCCTTGTCGCCCCCGGGCCTTGGCCCTACGTCTCTACTGACGTGCTCTCACCACTGACACCAATCTCAGTTTGGCCAGGAGGTCAGCCTCCGGTCAGGGCGGATGCGCATACGGAGTTATCGCCACCATCACTAGACAGAATCATGAATGGACAGGTCTTAGTAGCAGTAGCACCACTGGCAGTGGTAGAAATGTTTCAAGTTTTACCTTGAGCGCTACCTCAGTCCTGACACAGCACATCACTATGAGTATTACAGTATCTGGCCAACATGCTACCTCTGTACCTGTGGCATGGCCTCGCAAAGCGTAAATTTGGACTACAGTGACGCAGGCCAGACCCGCCTCGTGATATCCGTACCTGCAGATCTCCTAGAAACACCCTTTTCCTGACAGGGGCCGCTTTAACGACAATAATAACACTTGAAAGTGATATATGATCCTATGGGGCAGGGCCCCCGAGTGCTCAAATGTGCACATAATTATACTAAAATAGAAACCGTTGCTGGCATCACTCTTCGATAATAATGTCATCGGAATACACCAAAAGGTGACATAATAGTGCTAATACTAATCACAGCCATTGTGGGTCAGTACTTTCGTCTTCTTGTTCTGGCACATTTCTGTGGAGTCATAAGCTTAGCGCCAACGAGGGTACTTGTTGTTCTGTGTTGCCAAAAAAGTATGGATCCGTGTTTGTATTGATGGATTCTCCACTGGCCTTCCTATTGAGAAAGTCTCCGTCCGCAGCCGGAGCAACTACGAGTGACCGGCATTACATTTTCAAAACCTGGGTGATTGGCACTAGGGAGTAGGGTACGTATGGATACGTTGTCAACGTATTCCTAATGCCGATCTCCCAGTTGCTAACTGTGTGCCCTCTGGTGGATGTGGGTCCATGCCAGGCTTCAAGGCTAGACAGACAACGCCTACAGGCAGGACACTAGAAACCCGTACTCGTATCCTACAGCCCAACAACTACAGTACGTCTTTGTAATGTTATAAACGCCATGGTAATAATCACCTTGGGTATGTGCTCACAACAACAACAACAACAACAACAACAACAACAACAACAACAACAACAACAACAACAACAACAACAACAACAACAACAACAGCAATCTCTTATTCGCGACGGTACCATTGTGAGTGTGTGTGGCACCATTGTGAGAATAAAGAATTCGAAAAACAAAAACAACAACAACAACTCGCGGTTGATTCCTGTGAGGCGCCTGGTATTGATTGAAGAAAAGCGGGACTTAACTCCTCTATTTGGAGGTAGCAACTTCATTCCAGAGGATTTCTGCATGCTTTGCCGCATCGCCATCGTTTCGACGAAGTGCATGTACTTCAAGAACTACTAATGAGCTATCAGCGCCAACATGACAGCAGCAACTCGAGTAATCGTTTACGTCGCCCAAAAACAGCACACTGAAATACTGCGGTCACAGCAATACCAAAATAGCCAGTTTGAGAGTCATCACCTGAATACAACGTATAGTTCTCAGGTGCAGGACCACACAGCTGCGTCAGTGCTCAATGTCCGAATTCGATCCAGGAATGATAGATCTAGCACAGTGCTTGAAGTGCAATTTTCTAGCTTCCAATCTCTCTTGTGTATCATACTGTACATAATATCAGCGAGTCGTCAAATGCCGGTATTTGACGACGCTGATATTATCTAAAGTATACGCCATCAATGAACAGCTAGCTGTTTCGATCTTCTTGACTTAGGTCCCGTCGGCAGAGCTCAGAGCTACAGGCCAACCGATAGCAGCGAAGTCTAATGTGACTAATGATCAATAAAGCTACAGTGTAGATCTAGAGAAACACCCTACAAGTGTGCTCTGCACGGTACTGTACATGGCCGGATGGAGCTCCGGAGGTCAGCCACGGTTCTTGGTGACCACATGCAGCATGAGTAATGGACTCCAGATGGAGTCCAATCTCAGTCCATAGACTCTTTTCGTGATAATTATGGATTCGCCTTTGACCAAGAGTAATAATAGATGTACTTGCTATATGAGGCGGGTGTGTCTGGAAAGTGGATTTTATAGCCTGACTTGTACATGATGTGTACATGACTAGTATAAGTCATGTACATGTAGCTCAACACTGGGACATACTAGTAGCACGGAGGTCTTACCGACTGTTAGCTGGATTCTTGGCACAGAAGGACACACATAAAGGCCCATGCGCTTATGAGTGAGTTTTTGCGTTATTTGCTATTTTTTGCGGGCCGTTTTGTCTCACACATACATGTACATGTACTACTACTAGTGACATAGGCGCATGCGCTTGAGTTGCTAGCATACCGATACCGGTACCATGCACAATTATGCACATAGTGCAATACCGCAATGCACATAGTGCAATACCGCAATGCACATAGTGCAATACCGCAATGCACATAGTGCAATACCGCAATGCACATAGTGCAATACCGCAATGCACATAGTGCAATACCGCAATGCACATAGTGCAATACCGCAATGCACATAGTGCAATACCGCAATGCACATAGTGCAATACCGCAATGCACATAGTGCTGTAGAGCATGCAGATTCTTCAACCTTGTACCTGTTGCATTGTAGTCTAGTGCCTGTGTCACTGTAGCTTGGTGTGTTAAAACCTGTACAGTAATAAGACTAGTATCCTTTGCATATGAAGTTCGAACCTACCTTTTTCAGAAGCTTTCCTTTTTTTCTTTACTTTCTTCCAATACATGTCTTCTGATTGGCCGAATCTGTGCCATCTCTCTATCTCCTGATTGGTCTTAACCGTTGCTCGTTGTTATGTGAAACCTGAACTCTCTTAGTCTTGGCACATATAAAAAGCTCTGTCTCTGAAGAAAGATCATGCTTCATTTCTTCAACGACTTCTCCTTGCTCTGGTGAGACTTGTTGGTTGTTGTGTGCCCAACCACTTGGGCCACGCTACAACTGGTGGCAGCGGTGGATGTTTCGGGTTTTTTTTTCATGCTATGTTTTTGTTGTTGTGACAATGTGAAGTGATTCCTGGTTCGGAATGGCCCAAGCACAGCCTAACCAGCAAGTACCGCCGGCCCAGCCGCCCCGTCCTGCCCAGCCTGCTCAGCCAGCCCAGCCAGCCCAGCCAGTTCAGCCAGCTCAGCCAGCCCAGCCAGTTCAGCCAGCCCAGCCAGCACAGCCAGTTCAGCCCGCCCAGCCAGTTCAGCCCGCCCAGCCAGTTCAGCCCGCCCAGCCAGTTCAGCCCGCCCAGCCAGCTCCCGTTCGACCCATCCGGCCATGGGCAACTCCGGAACGTTTTGATGGTGGAGCAGCCTCGGACTGGACTACTTGGCGTGACCACTTCACTCAAGTTTGCCTGGTTAATCAGTGGTCGCCGCAGGACCAGGCACAGTACATCCCGTTGTACTTGATAGATAATGCGCAGTGCTACTACCAGTCGCTTCCTGTCGCGACACGCCAGGATGTTCAGCAATTACTGGTAGCTCTGGAGGGTCGGTTTGCTCCACCCGTCAGGACCGACCTCCACAGAGCGGAATTGAAGGCCAGACGACAGCGAGGTGAGGAGGCGTTGTCTGATTACTGCGAGGTGATTCGCCGATTGTCTCGCAGAGCGTACCCTACCTTGCCAAACCTCGTGCAGGACCAGCTGGCATGTGACCAATTCATTGAAGGTCTGGACAGCAGAGAGTTGCGCATGGAGGTACGTCGCCAAGACCCACGAACTCTTGACCAGGCACTGCAGCAAGGACTTCGAGCACTTGCCATACTCCAAGCGGACGCTACTACTAGTGCCTCTCAGCCAGTGGCCGCGGCTGTCTGTGCTGCCAGGGAAGATCGTTTGGATGCCTTATTAGTAAGGATGGAACGATTGGAAACCGCTCTGTCATCTTTGCAGCGACCGCAGCAGCAACCCCAGCAGCAACCCCAGCAGCAACCCCAACAACAGCGCCGCTGTTACCATTGTGGGAGTGCCGAACATCTGATTGCGTACTGCCCGACTGCACCTCCACCCCGGGGACAACGTCGGCGCCCTTCGGGAAACGGCCGGGAGTTGGCATAGAGGGTCCAGAGTCAGCTCCAAACCACCATGGCCTGGAAGTGCTGCCCGCCGCGCCTTCCGATGTAATATGCCATTCTGTTGCTGTTGACAGTTGCCAGTATGTTATCGGCAAAGTAAGTTCAATGTGCATAACTGATGTCCACATGTTAGTTGATTCTGGAAGTTCGATTTCGTTTGTCAGCTCAGCATTCTATCAACAACATAAGCATATAAAATTAAACAAAATTTCTACATCAGTCCGAAGTGTTGATGGCAGTGGCGTGACTGTGGAAGGAGCGGTGGATGTGCAGCTAGAGTTTGGCAGCCTCCAACTTCAGCACACTATGGTAGTTGCGAACATTGAGCCTGACGTACTATTAGGCATAGACTTCCTCCGTAGGCACGGTTGTATTATGGATCTGGGACAAGGCTGTCTGCGCTTGAGCAATCAGACCCTTCCATTAACACAGGGAGTTGGGCCCAAGCACCTTTCATGTCAGAGAGTGGAAACAGACCCCATTCCAGTGCAATTGGCTGAATCTGTTGTTCTGCAGGGCTATTCTCAGTTGATAACGCAAGGTAGATTACGCGACACTGAGTTTATGTCTCCATCGTGCGGAATGGTAGAGCCAACAGAGTCGTTCGTAGATAAATTTTGTGTCAGTGCAGCTAGAGTGGTCACGACCGTGAGTGAGAACAGTACTGTTCCTGTCAGGTTGCAGAACCTGCTACCACGGCCTGTCACTATAAACAAGGGTACAGTTGTTGGCATGTTCGAATCTTGCTTTGTTGAGAAAGCCGCAGAAGCCGTGGATGAGCGTGATTGTACTGCTGAAAGCTGTAATGCTGCTGATATGTGTTCTGACCCTGTTGAGTTGTTTGACCTTAGTCATCTCGATACAGAAGAGGCAGCAGCCGTCAGGTCTCTTCTCTCGGAGTTCAGCGACATAATTTCAACGGGAGCAATGGATCTTGGCTCTACCGGTGTTGCCAAACACGACATCGAGACCACTAGCAGCCAGCCTATTCGCCAAGCCCCTAGACGATTGCCGCTTCACCATGCCAATGAGGTTCGTGAACATGTTGAGCAGCTTTTAGCTGAGGGTTTAGTCGATCCTTCCAACAGTCCTTGGGCAGCCCCTATTGTTGTTGTTCGGAAGCCTGATGGAGCTATTAGACTATGTGTCGATTATCGCAAACTCAATGCTGTAACTGTCAGAGACGCATTCCCCATTCCGCGGATTGATGATGCGATAGACAACATGGGTGACGCACAGTATTTCACAACCCTAGATCTTGCATCCGGTTACTGGCAGTTAGAGCTAACTAATGCAGCAAGGGCGAAATCAGCATTTGTCACTCCATTTGGATTGTTTGAATGGAAAGTCATGCCATTTGGGTTATGCAATGCCCCAGCAACTTTCCAGCGCCTGATGACCATGGTTCTGGGTGATCTTGTGCCAAGCGTATGTTCAGCGTACATAGATGACACCATAACTTTCTCGAAAACATTTCAAGAACATCTGGTTAGACTGCGCCTAGTATTTGAAAAATTCCGGGCAGCAGGTTTGAAGGTCAAGCCTCGTAAGTGCCAGATTCTGAGCAAGTCGGTTACGTATCTTGGGCATGTGTTCAAGGGAGGTGGTGTGAGCCCTGATCCCAAGAATTGCAGTTCGGTCACCAGTCTCAAACCACTTTGCTCTGCAACCGAGGTTCGTCGATTTGTAGGTTTTGCTTCCTACTACAGGCGGTTCATCAAGGACTTCGCGACAATTGCAGCACCGCTACACAAGCTAATGCAGAAACAGGCAAGCTTTTCGTGGACGGATGAGTGTCAGCAAGCGTTCGATATCCTGAAGCAGAAGCTCACGTCATTCCCTGTCCTGACGTACCCGGATCCATCCCGCAAGTTTATCCTGGACACGGATGCTTCTGACACTGGTATTGGTGCAACTCTATCGCAGGTTGACGATCAGGGCAGAGAGCAGGTAATTGCGTATGCTAGTAGTTCACTTAGTAAGAGCCAACGTCGCTACGGCACAACTCGGCGTGAGATGTATGCAGTGGTCTTCTTTGTGCAATACTTCAAACATTATTTGCTGGGTGCAAACTTTACCTTGCGAACCGATCACAAAGCCCTTCTCTGGTTGAAGTCTTTCAAGGATTCGGAAGGTATCCTGGCGAGATGGTTGGAGAAACTAGAAGCGTTCGATTTCACAACTGTCCACCGTAGAGGTACTCAGCATGCCAACGCAGATGCATTGTCACGGTTCCATAGCCAACCTGCGGACAATTCGGAGCATCCTGCATCGGCCACTGCCGAGCCTTCAGTAATGGATCCAAATATTACTGTTGTCTGTCCTTCCCAGTCTTCCATTCCTGTCCCTACAGCCGTGCCATCAGTCTCTCCGGATACAGCAGCTGGTGATGCATTGACGCAGGATTCTGGACATCAAGCATACGTGGGTAATGTTGACGTTGAATCACAACCTGCAGAACATGCGAATGATGATAGCAATTTACTTGGAAGCAATTGGGCAGATTTTTTTAGTGCAGAAGATATTCGCAGAGCTCAAGCGGAAGACAGTGACATTGACTGCATGATTGGTTGGCAACAAGCATTGTTAGACAGGCCTAAACGCAGTGATAGTGCTATGAAAGGAGCATCATTAACCTTGATACGTCTGTGGAGTCAGTGGAAACGGCTGGTTCTGCAAGATGGCTTATTGTATCGTACGTACACTTCAGTAGATGGTAGCAACTCATTTCTGCAACTTGTTGTACCTGTCAGTTTGCGACAGAGAATTATGACTGGGATGCACAATGAGTGTAGTGGTGGCCACCTCGCTACTGAACGTACTCTAGAGAAGGTGAAAGCTAGATTCTATTGGCCTTTTATGTCGTCTGACATTGAGCTGCATTGCAAGGCGTGTGCGCTTTGTTCAGCTAGGCGTACCCCAGCACCAACCGCTCGCGCTCCGATGAAGGTGGACCAACCATCCTTTCCACTGCAACGTGTCGCTATGGACATCATGGGACCACTGCCCAGAACAAATCGAGGTAACCTCTACATTGTTGTGATTACTGATTATTTCACGAAGTGGGTAGAAGCGTTTGCCATCCCGGATATGACTGCTAGGACAATAGCTTCGGCAATGATTGATGGTTTCATTTGTCGCTACGGTGTGCCACTGTCTATCCACACTGATCAAGGTGCGCAATTTGAGTCAAATTTGTTCAAATCCATCTGTGAACTGTTAGATATGAAGAAGACACGCACGACTCCATATCATCCTTCTAGTGATGGTTTAGTTGAACGGATGAATCGTACACTTGAGAACATGCTGAGTGCCAGAGTCAATGCCAATCACAACGACTGGGACCTGCATATTCAACGCTGTTTACTGGCGTATCGTAGTAGCGTACATAGTTCAACCAAGGAAACCCCAGCTAGATTGATGTTCGGCAGAGAGCTTAAGTTGCCAGTGGATATTATGTTTAACGACTCCAGAGAACATGTCAAATCTGTACCTGACTATATGATTGGTCTCGAGATCTCCTTGCAGCAGGCATTCTCTCACGCTCGATCAGCTGGCGCTAAGGCACAGAAACGTCAGAAGGACTACTATGATGCAAAGACGACCAAGCCACGGTTTGCGATCAATGACAAGGTGCGCTTACACAACCCAGCTGTGAAAGCAGGCAACACAAAGAAGTTCCTCAAGCCATGGACCGGGCCGTATCGAGTTGTCGAGGTGATCGATGACGTGGTGTACAGGATTGAGCACTGTGATACAGGGAAACTCCAGGTGGTACACATCAACCGGCTCAAGTCAACGACTCAAGTACCGGAGGAGCAGCACGCTCCAGTGCCAGCACACCTACCTCAACCGGCGCTAATTGATTACGTGCAAGACGCTGTTCCGGTTCCGGCAGTTCCGGTTATTCCAGTTCCGGCAGTTCCAGCTGTTCCAGTTCCGGCTGTTCCAGTCCCGGCTGTTCCGGCAGCTCCCGTTGTGCCGGCCGTTCCGATCATGCCACAGGCAGGTGGGTATAACTTACGCAATCGGGCAAATCTCCAGAGGCCGGTGCGATACCGTCAATGAGAGCCAAGAACAATTGATATGTACAATTTTCTTGTGAAGATTTGAGAGATTGAGATTTGAGTTTTTTTAGATATAGTGTTGGGTTGGCATTTAACACACAGTTTATATAGCTTCTTCCTTGGGTTCTTTCGTTTCATTTTTATTTTTACAATACTCACACTATCACGAGGACGTGATTCAATCTGGGAGGGGGCCATGTAGAGCATGCAGATTCTTCAACCTTGTACCTGTTGCATTGTAGTCTAGTGCCTGTGTCACTGTAGCTTGGTGTGTTAAAACCTGTACAGTAATAAGACTAGTATCCTTTGCATATGAAGTTCGAACCTACCTTTTTCAGAAGCTTTCCTTTTTTTCTTTACTTTCTTCCAATACATGTCTTCTGATTGGCCGAATCTGTGCCATCTCTCTATCTCCTGATTGGTCTTAACCGTTGCTCGTTGTTATGTGAAACCTGAACTCTCTTAGTCTTGGCACATATAAAAAGCTCTGTCTCTGAAGAAAGATCATGCTTCATTTCTTCAACGACTTCTCCTTGCTCTGGTGAGACTTGTTGGTTGTTGTGTGCCCAACCACTTGGGCCACGCTACAGTGCAATACCGCAATGCACATAGTGCAATACCGCAATTCACATAGTGCAATACCGCAATGCACATTGAACTATGTGAACATAGTGTTTTTGTGGTGTCTGTGTGTCGCGGATGGAATTGCATTTAGGTTCACTTATAAGCCCATGCGCATATTTTGTGAGGGTGCGCTTATGCCCACATGCGCGTCATTACGGTAGGCATATAAAGCAGAGAGGTTCCAGGATGTCCTTAATTAATTAAGAGAGCACTCATTTCTGTTTTCTGATGATCGCTTAGTGCGTGAAACTCGGAGTTAGAACACTAAGTCTCTTTCGGTCCTCTTATTGTC